TTTGTTATTACTATTTAATTATTCAAATTAATAGATTTTTTTGCTTAAGTTTTGACTGATTGATACCAAAAAAAAAATTTAATTTTTCTGCATATAGACCAAATGCATATAATTGTGCATTTAATTTATTCATTTATTTTTTTTTATATATTTATATTTCATTATCTTATTTTTCTGGTTTTATTGCTGCTTACTCCAACCAAAATTAAATGAAATTAAGTTTTTCTTTTATTTACTGAAGATTTATTTGCTCATATATAAATATTAATTATTATTTGATTAGATTCATTAATTTGTATTCATTTAATATTTGTATTTATTTTTAACAGCTTAACACACTTTGACTTTTTGGCACGTCTGAGAAACTAAACTGACAAATCTCTTCACACAATGATTTTGTTTAATATTTTGCCGCCCATTCCGGGCACGCTTTTATTTTCAAAACAAACAAAATTAACTTAAAAATTGCCGGCGAAACACGCGCGCACTTTCTCCACACGTTCCGCACTCGACGCGTTGCGTTCGCGAACTGAATTGAGCCGAATGCAACATGTTGGCAGCTCGGCTCTTCGAGCATGTTCGATGCGCACAGCTGGCTGTGTGTCATATGCTCGGGTGGGGGGTGGGTGGTTGCAAGTTGCGACTTGTCTGTGTTGTCATTTGTGCCGGCTATAAATAGTTGCTGCACTAACCTCGCCTCCCTTCGATCCGGCAAACTGTTGCAGCTGAAGTTCAATGCTCAGCCGTGGGGTCAACAACAACCACAACAACAAAAACAAAAGCAACAGCAGCAAAGCCAGCATCAGCAACAATTAAGTTAGCCAAAAGTTATTGGCCAAACAAATCGCTATAATTGAACCACAGTTTGCTGCTCTGTGGCAATTATCTCAAATTATTTGCCACTTTTTTCTGTTTCTCCCATAATATGAATTAAGAAATGTCGCCAAGGAGACGTTGCAACAGCAACAACAACAACAACATAGAAAATTGTTTAATCATTGCAGCTTAAGTTTCTAATGGGGCATAACTCCACTTGATTGGTTCGAAACTCGTTTGGTTTGTTGTTCCATCTGATACCCTGTAATTACTGAAAGCCATTACAAATCTGGGTTTACTGCATATGTGGAAAATCGTAAAGTATGGGTATATTAGAATTCTCAATTGATATGAAACTGACAGAAGAGAGCAGAAATTTATATCAAGAACGAAGAAAGTTAATAGCTCTGAGACTGAGACTTGTTAAATATAAATATGAAATATATGTATCTTTATTATTTGTTGTTTACTCACATATTTGTTGATGTATCAACATAGTACATTTTGCACTAATTTTTATCAATTCAAAACGTAACTCTAGCATTTTTAACCAGTTTACAGGGTATTTGCTAGTTCAACTCACTTAGCTTGTCTACTCCAACTTGATTTAAGCCGCTTTACTTGAAACGCGCGCCAGCTCGCTCGCTGGCGATTTCTTTGCACTTGCCCGATTTACTAGTTTATGGAGCTGTTTTTTTGAAGTTTATTGCCGTCTGTCGAAATATGAGTGCAATTTACGTGATAGGCAATTGGAATTAGACAAACTAGTTGTAGGCTTACACTTCGTAAACTAGGCTGAAGCCTCTTGAAGGCGCGCAGCTGCGCATGGGTGGTAATGAAAGTTGTATATCTAGCTCTTATTATATACTACCAACTTAGTTCCAAGAAAGTTGTGGTCATCATTTCATATATCATTAAAATTAATCATTAAAGTAAATCACAATTTACCACAAACATTTCCAGAAGTTCGTGACCTTCACACCAATAAATCGAAATTTATTCAGTGAAAATAAATCGCTTCTATAGAGCATAAAATACAATTATAGAGTATATGCATGAATAAGAAACAAGAATTCCAAATTTATGTGAAATTCAATTATTGTTAAGAATATTCGTCCCTCGACAGAGCACTTTAAGGCCAGTTAAAGCGCACATTCCCGAAAAAAAAGACTGGAACTAGACCCAATAAATCTTTGTTTATACAAATCCAAAAAGCATGAAAGGCTTCCGAGCTCGAGCCATTCACATGCCACAGACGCATAAAAAAGAAAGGAGGCAAAACAAATGCTAGACGGACGGACACACATGTAACTCTCCAGCTTGCGCTGGACCGCATCTATTGCCCGGCAACTACAGAAACTACTAATGCCATTAAGCACACGCTCCCGCTCCCGCTCCCGCTCTCGCACTCCAGCCCAACTCCAACCCCTTCAGGCAACCCTCGCACAGCGCAGAGCACTAAGCATGCATTTTATTGCCTTTTGTCGTACTGGCAGCCGGCGCACTTTATCATTTCAATGGCAGCGAATGTTGCTATGTTTACTTTTCATTTTATGCAGCTCCAGCTGGCACGCCCACCGCCCACTGCGCACCTCCCAATGCCCACTGCCCACTTTGGCTGGCAATCTACACCCGGCTGTTCACTTGGCCGTTAGTCTATCCAATTGTCCAACAGTTTGTCTATGCAAATATTTTTATTTGCTTCTTTCGTTATGCTACTAAAACACACAATAGCATCCGCTTTCAGTGTAGTGTTGATGCTTAGCTAATACCCTGTAAATAGGCAAATATACAAACTGTTTGTTGAACCACTTTAGACTAGTGACTTGGCACCTTCTAAGAGTTCTACATTTCTCATTATACAATGCAATTCCCTAATACCCTGTATAAAAACTCATTCATTATGTTTTGGACTTTGTATACATATTTATAAGAATATGAAGAGAGACTTACACACATAAATTTTATATAAGTCTGTTAAAACTTCATTTAAGATGCGTTCAATAGTAGATTAATTCTCTGCTTATTACATTTAACGAACTTCTGGTATACCCTTTGGAATCACTCCTATCATTACAGGGTATCAAAGTGGCTCCAGCATAGCTGACAGCAGCACGTTTTTATCCAAGCGGAAATTAAATGTAGTCGGAGTTTTATGCGCATATTGTGCACATGTTGCCAATTTTTGTCGCCCGCTGCCTGCGCCCAGTCAATGGCTTAAATTTTGATGGGGCTCAGTCAAGAGTTTAATCAGCATCTAACAGTTCCTGAAGAGCCCATCCCATCCCAGGGGAGTTAATTACTAGACTACTTAGCATATAATTATGAAACTGTTTCACCTGGCACCCTCCGTCTCTCTCTCTCTCTCTCTCTCTCTCTCTCTCTCTCTCTCTCTCTCTCTCTCTCTGCATCTCCAACTTGCTCTTTCTCTGCTTCCCTTCCCTGCTGGCCTAAAGCAAATGTTCCCCAGGGCCAGGGAAAACTTTTACCAATTCAATTTTCCTCTACGACCATTTTGCSAGCAACAACAACAACCACAAAGTGGGGCGGGGAAAAAGTAATCATCGTTGCAATTGTTTCACATTTTTCACGTTAGTCGAGATGAATGTTCGCTTTGATGATGAGGTAGAAATCAAGCCCCCCTCTGGCATGCCTGTAGACGACATTTTCGCCCCTTGTTAACCACTCGAATGCCATTTTCTTTGTTTGCCACTAGAAAAATATGACTAACTGCTGGCAACTGAAATCGAATGGCGAAGCTCTGCGCGTTGATTGAGCATTCTAAGGTTTTCCTTAAAGAGTTCTTGCCTTTGGGGGCTGGTTATCCCAGCAACCCTTAGTTCCTGCTCAACGCGGATTAAAGCTCTCTTTTCAAATTGCAAATTTTTCAGAAGCCAACGCTCAAAATATAATGTAGCTCGACATCCACTTCAACAAAATGCGAAAAAATGTGTATTAAAGCCCGCGTCGAGGCAGGATAAAAACCAAAACCCGGAAGCGAGCGACTGTCCGCAAAAACAAAAGCGAAAATGTCAAGCAGCAGCGGGAAAAATACGAAGAATGTTACCGACTGTCTAATACTCTGCTGCAGCTAGCCAAGCAGCACTTTCTAATCAAACTGATTCACATGTACTGCAATGTGAAGTATTTAACCGTGTTCTTGCAAACAAAATACCTTGGAATATTTTATAAAATGACTTTTGAGCAGCGTATCAAGGAAACAACCTCGCTACACTGTGTGGACCAGAATAATATCGAGACACGGGCAGCTGACAAGAGATGGGACGAGATGCATGTGCGTGAAGCGGGGGATGTATTTTGAAATCAGAAAATCTGGGCGGGGCTTAAGTGGGCTGACTCAACAGCGTGAGCACTTGACGGCCATTTATGGAGAATAATTGAAATTATGTAAGATATACTAAAAAGAATAGAATACATAATAAAGATAAGAAAATACCAACAATCTAAAAATTTATATGTCAATGAAAGTGCGAAGTAATCATAAGTCAAAACAAAATTGCAAAAAAAAAATAAATAAATAAAACATATTTTTGAAATTACATTCGCACTTGAATTCTTATTTAATTTGTACAGAGGCTCTATACCGTATACAAATTCCCATATAAAAAACTGATTTTGATATTATTTCCAACTGTCAATATCCTAGGTTGCTCGTCGAACAAAATAATCTCATCAGAGTAGGTGTTTAGCAAGGGAGATTTGTGTAAATTGTGTTTTAGGAAATATAATCGTAATTTTCTTAGAATTCACTGTAGAAGGACATCATGAAGTTTGGAAAGACCTTTGAGAGCCACTTGACACACGAATGGCGTCAGCAATACATGGACTATTCGGTAAACTCTCTATAGCAAAATCTCGTGGCATCCAGATATAAATATCATCCATATATAGGAGCTAGACGCCATGATACGCAACGCGGTGGTCAACGCGCCCGACAGGCAGGTGCCAAGGAGCAGCAGATATGTACGCGAGCAGGATTCTTCTGTTGACCCGGCAGTTGCGGAATACTACGAAAATTTTCGGCGCAATTTCTTTGCCGTTTGCCATCAAGAGCTGAGTCGCGTTGAGGACTTTTTCGCCCAGAAGATGGCCGAGGCGCGTCGCAAGCTGGACGAGATCAAGATCCAGCTGACCGCAGTCATACGCACCTACAATGCCCGCCACATGGGCTTCGTGTGCAGCGAGTTCTACTTGAGCCTGATCATGCTCCAGAACTTCCAGAGCCTCAACTACACGGCCTTTCGCAAAATATGCAAGAAGTACGACAAGCACATCAAGTCTGACAGGGGTGCGGCCTGGTTCAGAGAGTACGTCAGCCAGGCGCCCTTCAGCAAGGAGGAGGAACTGATGAAGATGATCACCGACGTGGAGAATCTCTACACGACCCATCTGACGCACGGAGACCGCGCCAAGGCCATGGAAAAACTGCGAGTGCCACCTCTGCGCCAGGTCTCGCCCCCCGCAAGGGTCTTCATGGCCGGCATGATGCTGGGCCTGTTTGTAGTCAGCGCCATTGTTGTGCTCCTCTCGCGTAGGTCCACCCAGACATCCAGCCCCTGTGCCTAACCACCTCTCTCTCCTATCTCCCGCAGTGATCTATGCGAGCAACAGCACGCTGCTCTACACGTTTGGCCGCATGTACCGGGGTCTCATCACCTGGGTGCTCTGCTGCTTCTACTTGGCAATCAATGTGTACGTTTGGCAGCGGGTGGGCATCAACCACGTGCTGATCTTTGAGCTGGACGCGCGCAAGCGAGTGCTGCCGGCGACGTTTCTGGAGCTGGCCAGCGCCATCGGTTACATCTGCACTCTGTCCATGCTCATGTTTCTACACCACAAGGAGTTCGGCGTAGACGTGCCATACCACTTTCCCTTGATCTCTATAGGGCTGCCGTTGCTGCTGCTGATCAATCCTATACCCATGCTCCATTTGAAAGCGCGCATGTGGATCTTGCGCTGCTTTGGCAGAATCGTAGCTGCTCCCTTCTTCCATGTGCAGTTCGCAGACTTCTGGATCGCCGATCAGCTCACTTCGCTGGTTCAGTGTATTGTGGACAACTACCACTTGGTGCGTTTCTATTTCCGCTACTACATGAAACTGCCCACTGCCTTCGACTTCGAGCCGGACTTCATGGTTCCGATCATACGTAGCCTGCCGCCCTGGTTCCGCCTAGCCCAGTGCCTGAGACGATATTATGATAAGCACAATAAACCCCATTTATATTTCCTGAATGCTTGCAAATATTTCAGTAGCATCATTGTGGTTATCTTTTCCACAATTTTAATGGAAACGAGTGGTATGTATATCCCTGCAAATGCCCCGCACATAAGGTGTGAGGGTGATCTGATTTCGAGCCAAGTTTATGATTTCAATTTGTACAGGGTATTTCGCAGTTGTTCATTGACTTATTTCGTCAATCTCTTCTCATTGCAGATGAATATAGTAGCATGTTTCAAAATCCATGGATATGGCCGTATCTACTCGCGTCTCTCGTATCCACCATCTATTTCTCAGTCTGGGATGTGATTTACGACTTTGGTCTGTTTCAAGTTTGGAAAGGTGAACATATATTTCTGCGCAAGCATCTCGTGTATCGTAAGGTATAGATAGATAGATAGCTTTCGAGAGTCGCCCGCACTTAAACAAACCAATATCGTGTTAACAATATCCACAGAGCTTTTACTACTTTGCCATCATAACGAACGTTCTGATACGTTTCATATGGGTCCTGGAGATATGTTTTATTTACTACAATGTTTTGTTGCCCAACGATTGCAAGACGATTGCCAGCTTCCTGGAGGTGACCAGGCGATTCATCTGGAACTATTTGCGCCTGGAGAACGAGCACTTATTTAATGTCGGAAATTTCCGTGCCCACCGCGACATTTACCTACAACCCATCGGAAAGTTTACAGAGGAGGACTCCAGAATCGACAAGAGCGTACAGAACGGCAGGCAATCGAGTTTCTAAACGAATATTGCAAAATCAACTACAATATCCAAATTTGATTTCCTTTAAACTGGTGTCTTGAATATTAACTATGTTCTATTCAGCAAAGAAATAAATATGAATATGAAATATATATTCAAATAGATAATGCCTTTTTAATATGCCTTCACGTAGGGTTGACATTAAAATAAGTTCTATAAATCTGTTCTGCCATCCGGAAATACCTATTAATCTATGTTTATCTAACGAACTAATGGTGCCAAATAATATCTCATTGCCTATCAACAAATCTCCACTAAAAACTGAATTAATTACTAGTTGTCTACGACAAGTACTTCGCCAGGACATTTCTCTTTGATGTCGCATCCTCCTACAGTTGACTTAACACTCATCACAAAAACTACGAAATACAAGTTTAGTCAATATGAAGCTCGACAAAACTTTTGAGAGTCATTTAACAAGTGAATGGCGTCAGCAATATGTCAACTATGAGGTTAGTACGGTGCAGCTAGACCAGAGATTACGTCCGTAGCTAAATGATCCGATCTGACCACACAGGAGCTGAAGAACTTACTGCACACCGCATTGGAAAATGCGCCGAACCCAAGGGACAAAAACGTATATGATGTCTATTGTCAAAACTTTAACGACGAGTTCTATGCAAAGCTGACCACAGAGCTGAAGCGGGTGAATGAGTTCTTCGAATATAAAATGGCTGAGGCAAGGCGTAAGCATGCCACTCTGAAGGTGAAGCTGCTCTACATAAAGGGTCAAAGCGAAGCGAATGTGACGGGTGCCGTCAAAGGGCTACCTCCGCTGGCCGACCAGCCGCGAAATCTGCGCAAACTGGATCGCGCCTATGCCGAATTCTACTTCAGTCTGGTGTTACTCAACAATTACCAGCAGCTCAACTATGCGTGCTTCTTCAAGCTAAGCCAAAAGTGCAGGAAGTATTTCCCGACCTCCAATGGACCTAGATGGATTCAGAGCACTTTGGATGTCACGCCCTTAAATATCGACGGAGTTGAGCTGCGCGAAATGATATCCGAAGTTGAGGACCTGTTCACTCAATACATAACAGACGGTGATCGTGGCAAGGCAATGGAAAAGCTGAGAGTTCCGCCCTTGGGTCAACCCACATCGATGGGCTACGTGTTCTCGGCGGGCGTGTTCATGGGTCTCTTTATAGTCTCAATTGTAGTCTGTGTTATTTCTGGTAAGATATCTGACCTTTGAAGATGTGTCCATCTGTTAATTGTGTGATTAATGCACTTTTGTATTGAGTATTGGCTTGCATCAATAGATTGCCCGTAAAACTAATTGATTGACTGATAAGTGGAGCACTAAGCAGTTCTGGTAATCCTGGTGTAGAGATTAAAAGACACATTCATAGATATGGTTGTAGCTAGACTGCTTCATCTGTGAGTCCAGCTAGTTGAATAGCTGACGAAGGGATCGCCATTTGTTCATAACTCATAGGACCAATTGACTTTCTATAGATTCAAGAACTAAGATGCAAAAATAGTTCATCTAATATTATTAACCAGGCTTAATCTCTTTTACAGCCTATATCCTATTTAGCAACACGAAACAGTTTTTCATCTTTACTCGACTGTTTCGCGGCTCGTTCCTCTTGATGCTCTATGGCTTCAGCGTGGTGGCCAACGTCTATGTGTGGCAGAGTATGGGCATAAATCACGTGCTTATCTTCGATCTAAATCCTCGCAATCAGACGGAGTGTCTCAAGCTACTCAGCACAGCCAGCTTCTTTGGGTATGTCTGTGTGCTGGCCATGCTGCTGTTCATCCATCACAAGGAGTTTGGCGTTAGGGATCCTTTCTATATTCCGCTGGTTGGACTGGTGCTGCCGGTGGCGCTGCTCATAAATCCAGTGCACATTATGAATTTTCCGGCTCGAATGTGGATTTTGCAGTGTTTCGGACGCATTTTGGCCGCTCCGTTCTGCTACGTGCATTTTGCGGATTTTTGGATAGCCGATCAGCTGGGATCCCTGGTGCAGTGCTCAGTGGACTACTATCAGTTGATTCGCTTCTATGTGCGTTACTCGATGGATAGAGAGAATACCTTCGATTTCGAGCCAGACGCGATGGTGTCCGTGCTGCGCTGCCTGCCTGCCTGGTTTCGGATGGCCCAATGCATAAAGCGCTACCGCGATAGTCCAATGAAGCCAGCTTCATATTTGGTGAATGCTTTCGCCTATGGCTCTACACTCGTTGTTGGCGTCATCTCAACCATTCAAATGGAGACGAGCGGTAAGTGAACCAGCTAAGTTCTCAGCAGAACTCGGTGCATTTATCTCCTCATGCAGACAAGTACCAAAGTATCTTTGAGAATCCCTGGACTTGGGGCTACTTAGTTGGCACCCTCGTGTCAACCATTTACTGCACCGCGTGGGACTTGCTGCAAGACTACGGCTTGTTCAAGGTCTGGAAGGGCAAAAACATATTCCTTCGCAAGCGTTTAATTTACCCCAAGGTAGGTTCGACTTGACTGTTCTGGCAATACCCGCTTATTCCGTCTTTGTTTATTTGCTGCAGTGGGTTTACTACTACGCCATCCTTGCCGATCTCTCGATTCGTTTCTTCTGGGCTTTCGAGGTATACTTGATATACAATAATCTCCTGCTGCCCAACAATATAAAGACGCTGTACAGCATTTGTGAAATTAAGCGACGTTTCATTTGGAACACTCTTCGATTGGAGAACGAACACTTGTATAACTGCGGCAATTTCCGAGCGACACGCGATATCTATGTCTCGGCTCTAAACTCCCGAGACGAATTGCTAGTGAAGAACCTTTTGGATGAGTCGAGGCGTAATACAGAAGCGCGTCGGGATAGTAATGCGACAAAAGTGACCCACAGTGACAGTCCTCCCAGTTAGGCGGCCTTAATTACTGTTCGCTCTGCCACGCCCACTTTGCCAATTCCGCCTCGCTTTCGAGCGTATTGACAATTGGGAGTCAATGAAGCGTGCAACGAGTCTGGGTTTCTAGCAATTCGAATATTCTGCTTTTGCTTCAACCCTCGCAAAGCAAATTGAATAAAATTAATCTCACATTTACGAAATTAAAACCACAAATGGAATTATAAATTCAGCATGCAGGACGTGCTCTTCGCTCAGGGCAGACAAGAGGATGCTTGCACAGGCGAATACCCTGTAGACGTATACTTGATATACTAGATAAGTCTCATGCAGTGAGCTACCCCACTTGATGTTTCCAGGACAGCGATAAACTCAAGCCCGCAGGGCAACAAAAGTTAAGCCAGACAACAAGCAGGCATACAAGGACACAGCTTTTTGGCCAAAACGAGCTGACAACTTGTGGTGTGACTGGTCTGTCAAGAGAAAGAGCGAGAGATGCCTTTGTAGCCAGGATAACTGAAACAGCTATCTCCCTGATGGACCTACCCCTTCCAGACGGGTTGCCTGCTTGCGTGCCTGTTGCCAGGTTTGATTTTGGTTTGGTTTGCGTCCTGTGCCTGGTCACGCATAAATGCATGCGAATTAGAGAGAGCACACGCACGTGGGCGCTTTACCTACCCCCCATTGCCATGGGTGAGGAAGGGAGGTTACTGCTTGATAGCAGTGGAGTTAGTCCTCCGGCTTGGCTTGGGCTTAGCTCCTTGAACGTATGCATTGGAATTCACGCCCTCAGCTGCCGCATGTCAATTATGTGACCTCCACGTTCCGTAGCATCGGGGGTTATTTTGAAGCCATTAAACTCCCCAGCCTCTCGACCCAGAGATCCTTCTTGGCTCCGTTACAAATGTTATAAATACGTTTGGGAGCACATATTGTTGCAATGTCTGGCTCGCAATTTGCAGTTATAAATGGCAGCTTTCCGGCTCTAGCTCCAGCTCCTGCTCCAGCTACAGGGTGGAAATGTCATCAGCTGTTGCTGAAGTCTTCCGTCTCGAGAACGAGTCAAACAGCTTGCTTTCTCGCAATTTTTAGTTTAATTATATGCAACATGTTGCCTGGCTGGTGGCTGGTGGCAAGTGCGGAAGGCCAAATCAGTGCCAGCTACAGAGAACTTGCAAACTGTTGGCAGAAAGTCGTGCGCGAGGCAACTTTATAAAACGCTGTGCACCAGCTGCTCGACTTGTCGCTTGCCGTTCAAAATGCTTTTGAATTTCAGATGTACATTGCTTCCCACTCCACTAGATGAGCCCCCTCATCAGGGGTCCCATTGCCATTCGCTAATGGTTGGCTTGACATTTTTGGGGGTTGCTTTGGCACAGCTGAAACTTCTGCAGCAGGCTGGACTGCACAGGGTTTCAGTGTCTAGGTCGCCAGACCGCAGACATTATAAACAACGCACAACGTAGTCGGGAGAAAGAGAGGAATATTAGCTATAGCCGAATATTAAATACTCTTGCAATGTTGCTTGTACAAAGTGTGTGGCTCTGAGAAATATTTCAATTTTATTATGCCAGCACTATTTCTCATCTCTAACTATTGCTGATTATGATGTATTTGAGAATCCATCTCCCCTTTCTGCTTAACAATTTGATTTAATTGTGCTACTGTTAGGGTATGCACAGACCACGTTCATTCCAGTTTGCAGTGAAAGTTTTATGGCATTTGGAACTTTAAATGAACTTGCCGCATTGTTGTCATCGGCCTGTCGTCCTGTCCTGTGTCCTGTAGCCCCGTTGGTGTTTTTCCCTGTTGCCTACCACAAACTAGGCGCAAGGACGCCCATAAAAATCCTGTGTAATTTATTTGTCTGCGAGTCAACGCGCCCCTCAACCAAAAAATAACACTGCCAACATTTCCGTTACGCATTTAAATTTCATAGTCAGTGAAAGTCATCAACACATGGCGACCCAGAGCGGGAAGTGTGGGGGGCGATTGCCAGACCCCGAAACGAGAGTTAAACGGCGAATGGTCTGTACCCTGGTCCCCATTTCCCTATCCGTATTTTTGGTAGCACAACAAAAGCTTCCGTTTCCTGTCTGCTCTGCTGGGATTTCCCCGAGGGTTGCAAACACACAAGAAAACTCCCAAGACGCAG